AGCCGGGCGTAGTGGCACATGCCTGTAATCCCAGCTACTCGGGCAGACTGAGGCAGGAGAATCGCTTGAGCTCTGGAGGCGGAGGTTGCGGTGAGCCAAGATGGCAGGCACCATTGCACTCCAGCCTGGGCAACAAGAGTGAAACTCTGACTCAAAAAGGAAAAACCACTTTTAATATGCCATAGTGAAGTTTAGCCAGTCATACAGCTGTTTATTTAATTTGTTAAATGGTTGTGGAATATTGGTTTGGAGCAAACTTTGTCATAGGTGGATGAAATCCATTAGTAAAGAAAGGTAAACGCTGTCTTCACCTTAGCCTACATACAGAGAAATATATAGGAGTAAGTAGTAAATGAAATTGAATTTTTTTTTTTTTTTTTTTTTTTGAGACGATGTTTCTGTTACCCTGGCTTGAATGCAGCTGGCACAATCTCAGCTCACTGCAGCCTCAACCTCCCAGACTCAAGTGATCTTCCTATCTCAAACTCCCCAGTAGCAGGGACTCTGTGCATGTGCCACCAGGCCTGACTGAGTTTTGTATTTTTTGTAAAGATGGGGTTTTGTCATGTTGTCTACGCTGGTCTTGAATTTTTGGGCTCCTGCCTCGGCTTCCCAAAGTGCTTGGAGTACAGGTCTGAGCCACTGTGCCTGGTTGGTAATTGGATGTTTATGTACCGTATTAGAGGGCCTCTTCACTCAGGCATGCAGTTCCTGAACGTTTTCATCTAGGAAAAGGAAATGATATCTATGTTGTGACTTGAAGGATAAAAGTTAAATTATTTAAAGGTGGGATTAATAGGGAAAGAGTAAATTACAGGGAAGATAGTGGGGGGGTGTGTTTTAGGAAGAAATTAAAGCATTGAACAAATATCCAGGGTCAAGAGAGACTGGCAGTTTAAAAAAACTTGAAGGAAATTATATTTGCCTCCAATTTGTATATAAGTGAAAAGAGTGATGAAGGAAGGATGAAGCTGTAGATGTAAGCATGGTCAGGAGTTTAAGGCTGCCCTAAGTAAAGTAGGAAGCTATCGAAAGATTTTAAGCAATTTTCATTTTGGTGAATCACTTGGCTAGTGTGTTCAGAGATCTGTGGACATATCATTTTTTCTTTCTTTCCTTTTCTTTTTCTTTTTTTTTTTTTTTGAGACAAGGTTTCACTGTGTGGCCCAGGCTGGAGTGTGCAGTGGCGTGATCTCGGCTCATTGCAACCTCTGTCTCCCAGTTCAAGCAATTCTGTTACCTCAGCTCCCTGAGTAGTCCAGCACCTGGGACTACAGGCACGTGCCACCACGCCTGGCTAAGTTTTTGTATTTTTTGGTAGAGAGGTGGTTTCACCATGTTGGCCAGGCTGGTCTCAAACTCCTGACCCAAAGTGATCTGCCTGCCTCTGCCTTCCAAAGTGCTGGGATTACAGGTGTGAACCACCATGCCTGACCCTATACCAGTTATTCTTTCATTTACTGTTATTTCTTTCTTCTGTGTATTTACTGAATTTCCTGCTCTCTTTTCCTCTTTGCCTAAATTCTTTTCATTGTTTGCATCTCACGTTACTTGCTGAAGAATCTCTAAATCTATGAATACATTTGGAGATGTGTTACCCCTATTGAATGTTCTGTCACTGTGAACCCTGCTCCTCCAAATTATCCCATCTATTTATTCACCTTTTCCTTCCTCACTGGGTCTTTGCCTTTCAATTATAGATACATTGTGTTTTTGTGTCTGCAGAACAAAAATTTTTGAACCAGTCTTTCTAGATTGTCCTGTTTTCTATTCTTTATTTCCAAGTTTTTTTTTGAGACAGAGTTTCGCTCTTGTTGCCCAGGCTGGAGTGCAATGGCACCGAATTGGCTCATTGCAGCCTCCGCCTCCCAGGTTCAAGCGATTCTCCTGCCTCAGCCTTCCCGAGTAGCTAGGATTACAGGCATGTGCCACCACGCCTGGCAAATTTTGTATTTTTAGTAGAGATCGGGTTTCTCCATGTTGATCAAGCTGGTCTCGAACTCCCGATCTCAGGTGATCCACCCACCTTGGCCTCCCAAAGTGCTGGGATTACAGGCATGAGCCACTGCACCACCCTATTTCTAAGCTTTTTAAGAGTAGGCTGGACTGGACATGATGCCTGACACCTGTTATACCAGCACTTTGGGAGACCAAGGTGGGAGGATCACTTAAGCCCAGGAGTTTGAGACTAGTTTGGGCAACATGGTGAAATCCTGTCTCTACAAAAA